AAATCTCCTGCAGGGAGGCAGCTCCAGAGCTCTGCAGGGGAGGAGGGCTGTGGAGGGACAGCAAGGGAGGGTGAGTGTGTGAGTGTGTGTGTGTGAGTGTGCGTGTGTGTGAGTGTGCGTGTGTGTGAGTGCATGTGTGATAAGTGTGTGAGTGTGCATGTGTGTGAGTGTGTATGTGTGTGAGAGTCTGTGAGTGTGTGAGTGTGTGATGAGTGTGTGTGAGTGTGCGTGTGTGTGAGTGTGCGTTTGTGTGCGTGTGTGATGAGTGTGCATGTGTGAGTGTGCGTGTGTGAGTGTGCGTGTGTGTGAGTGTGCGTGTGTGTGAGTGCGTGTGTGAGTGTGTATGTGTGTGAGAGTCTGTGAGTGTGTGTGAGTGTGCGTGTGTGCATGTGTGATGAGTGTGCATGTGTGAGTGTGCGTGTGTGAGTGTGCGTGTGTGTGCGTGTGTGAGTGCATGTGTGTGAGTGTGTATGTGTGTGAGAGTCTGTGCGTGTGTGTGAGTGTGCGTGTGTGTGCGTGTGTGATGAGTGTGCATGTGTGAGTGTGCGTGTGTGAGTGTGCATGTGTGTGCGTGTGTGAGTGCATGTGTGATGAGTGTGTGTGCGTGTGTGTGTATGTGTGTGAGAGTCTGTGTGTGAGTCTGTGCATGTGTGATGAGTGTGTGAGTGTGCGTGTGTGCGTGTGATGAGTGTGCATGTGTGAGTGTGCGTGTGTGTGTGAGTGTGCATGTGTGAGTGTGCGTGTGTGTGCATGTGTGAGTGCATGTGTGTGTGCGTGTGTGTGTGCGTGAGTGCATGTGTGATGAGTGTGTGTATGTGCATGTGTCTGTGTGTGAGTGTGTGTGTGATGTGTGACTGCATGTGTGTGTGCGTGTGTGTGATGAGTGTGTATGTGTGTGCATGTGTGTGATGAGTGTGTGTTTATGTGTGTGTGAGTGTGCATGTGTGTGATGAGTGTATGTGTGTGTGCATGTGTGTGTGATGAGTGTATGTGTGTGTGCATGTGTGAGAGTCTGTGTGTGTGATGAGTGTGTGTGAGTGTATGTGTTTGCATGTGTGTGTGAGTGTGGGTGATGAGTGTGTGAGAGTGTGTGTGTGTGTAAGCTGGTGCAGGTGTCCACTCTGTCCGTGGTGTGCATATGTGTGTGCATGCATGTGTGTGCATGTCTGTATGCCTGTGCGTGCACTATGTGTGTGTGCATGTGTGTGTGATGAGTGTGTGAGTGTGTGAGTGTGTGTGATGAGTGTGTGTGTGTTTGAGCTGGTGCAAGTGTCCACTCTGTCCATGGTGTGCATACGTGTGTGTGCATGCATGTGTGTGCAAGTCTGTATGCCTGTGCATGCACTAGGTATGTGCATATGAGTGCATACATGCGTGTGTGTACTTGCACGTTTCTGTGCATGCCTGTGTGCACTGTGTGGTGTCCGTATGTGATTCCAGCATGAATTGTGTGAGTGTGAGTGCGTAGGGGCATGTGTGCATTCAGCATGCGTGCACCACTCTGAGTGTTGAGTGTACACAGGCATGTGTGGTCTCGCTGTGTGGATGATGTGTATGCATGTGTGCACACACGTGTGGACCTCAGGCAGGGTCTGAGAGCCTGGAAGTTCCTCCAGTTTAAAGGTTGTGAAAAATGTTACGGTTTCCATGGTGACCCTGGGCCAGCCCGGCGCCTGGACGAGCTCTGCTTGCTTTTCTCTGTGATGGTTCCTCTTGTCCCCCTCAGCCGTCCTCACCTTTTGGCCCCCACTCCCTTTCTGGGCACCCTGCTCTGTTCTGGGAGCCCCCACTCCCTTCCGGGGGCTGCTCCTTTGAGAGCCTGACCTTCCCATGAGGCCTGCACTCCCTTCCTTGAGGCCAGCAGAACCAACGCACCCCCACCCCCTCCACACCTCTCCCTCCCCGTCCCCCTGCTGCCCCTAGTTTTGAAATCTCCTTTTGCTTCCCCGTGTGGTCGCTGACCGGGCCTGACTTTGAAATCTGTTGAAAGGAGACCTTTCTCCTTGGGGCCAATGTAAACAGCCGGTCATGTTAAATCATGTTCTCTTCCTCTCTCAGCCTGCCTCTCGGGGGTGCTTGGGGAGGGCTGAGCCCCTCTCCTCACTCTCCCCTGCCTGGCGGCCCGGCCTCTGGGGCGTGGTGTGCGGCAGCACCAGGTCAGCTGTGCAGTCCCCAGCCTTGGCAAGCAGCCCAGGGAGTGTGCGAGGCCGCCCCGTCCCCATGGGCCCCGCTGGGGCTCCAGCTGACCCTCCCCTCTTCCAGCCCAGATCCGTGTGCCCTCCTGCCCTTGCCACACACAGGCGTCCCCATATCCTGCCAACCCCCCTCAGAAACGCCTCTCCAATCTGCCTGCCTGCTGAGCCCAGGCCAGCCTAGCCCTGGCCACTCTTGCCCCCTGCCCAAGACTGTCCCCCACCCCACGTCACCATCACGTGGCTCCTGGGGGCCTCCGTGTCAACCTTGGGCCCTTGGCCAGGTCCAGGCCCACCCCGAAACCTCCACTAACCCACTTCTTTTCTTGTCCGCTGCCCTAAATCCAGCCTCCCCCCACCCTAGTGTCCAGACCAATGAGGTCCATGCCTCCCGCTGTGTGGACAGAGCCCAGCTTGTCAAGGGCCTCCCCACGCCTCAGTGGATGGTGCGATTGGTCTCCTGGCCAAGGGTCCGAATTCTCCTTTGCCCCCGGTCATGCCTGTCTCTCGGAAAGGCTTTGGGAGGTGACAGCTGCCCCAGTGCCTCCAGAATCAGGCCCTTCCTGACTCCACTTTCTTAACTGTGTGTGGAACAAGGGGGCTGTCCGGACTCCCGGAGCCTTCGGCTACGTGGCTCTGGCCACCCTTTCACATGCTGGCCTTCCCAGCAGCAGGTGTGCCCCACCAGTGCCCTGGGAGCTGGCAGGTGTGCTGTGCACCTTCCCAGGACAAGCAGGAGCCGCATCGGGACCCACGGCAGCTTGCAGAAAGCTCCCCTCCCGCTCAGCTGGCACCCTGACTCAGCCAAGTCCACCTGACTCGGCCAAGCCCACTTGCACCCCAAAGTCAAACTCACCCCTTCAGGAGGCTTAGAAATGATGCCTTCTTTTCCCTGAAAACCAGTGTCAGCTTCCCTTAGCCAATGGCCTGGGCCAGGCACCATTTCATCTGCTCTGAGAGCCCAGACTTGGCTTATTCCCCTAGCCCCACAGCCCCTGTTGCTGTTTGCCTCTTCCTAGTCCCGGAGACAACTCTGCCCTCCTCCGTGGTACAGCCTCTCTTTCCTCCTGGCACCCCCACTCTCTTCTTTCTCGGTACCTGCCCTGCTTTCTTCTCTCCTCTGACATCCCCAGAAGCCCCCCAGCCCCACCCTTCACCTCTCTCTCCACATCGCCCCGCTCGGCCGCTAGGTCCCAGAGGCTGTCGCGTAGGGCCGTGGTCTCCCTCTGATGGGCCGTGATGGCATCCTCAAACTGGGCCTGGAGGGCCTTCAGCTCCTCGGTTGTGGAGCTGATGGTGGCCTGCGGGGAGAAGGGAGCCCACAGTGGCACCAGGGAGCCGGGCCCAGCAGTGGAGGGTGAGGTAAGGCCAGGACCCTGGAGCAGGACGTGTTGCAGTGGCTGGGGAGGGGCAGCTGGGCCCTGATGATCACGCACGCCCCGGGTAACCGGTGTTTCCTAAACTATCAGACAGGCTGCTGGGATGAGGAGACGTCCACCGTCCCTGCCAGCTGTGATGTGTCAGTGCCCATGGACACAGCAGGAGGCAGCCGCTCAGCTCAGCCTGTGCCCTGGGGCAGGGCCCATCCCTGCAGGGACCACCACACACTGGGCAGCTCTACCCTCCATCTGGGACTGAGCTCAGCTGGAGTTGGCTCCCTGTCGCCTACACCACCCGAGGTGTCCTCTTGGGCCTTGGGGCAGTGTGGCCAGTAGGGATCCTTGGGCCAGGAGGCCCCTGGCTCAGCCCATGGCCCCTTGTTCATGGCCGAATGCCGCCTTCTTCACCCCAAGCCCCAGGCCCCTTGGGACACCACCCTGCTTCCTCGCAAGGCCCTCCCCTCTGCACCCCTGCCCAGGTTAGGGCGGCAGGGCAGACGGGGCTCAGGGGGGTCTCAGCTTTCTGGGCCTCAGTGTCCCCAACATGAAGAGTCAGAGCCCTGCCCTGCTCAGGTTCCACACCCCTGGGCTCGGGGCACCGGACCAAGCCTCCAGGCAGCAGCAGGCGGCTGGCAGGGGGTGGCTGGTGGGGGACGGCTCCCTCCAGAGCTGGCTCAGTGTTCCCGGGGGCACAGGTGCCCACATGGCTGCCCCTGTGCCAGATCTCGGAGCCCCTCCTGTCCACCTGGATTCTGCTAGGGTGGGGGCTCCTGCAGCCTGTGACCCGTGACCCCTGCTCCTGGGAAAGGAGCCGAGCTGCTGCCTCCTGTCCTCGTTCTCCACAACCCCCTGTGGTCTCTCCGGACTGACAAGGGCCATTTTGGGTGACCAGGCCATGGCTCTGTGCCTCAGCATGCCCCAGCGCTGCCCTGGCTGCAGGATACCCCTGTGAGGGCCTCAGGGACAGGGCAGCGGCCGGGAGCCCGGCGGCAGTGGTGACTCAGCCTGGGGGCACACGCTCTCCTGTCATCTGGAGCCTGGTGCTCCTTGGCCAGCATTCCTCTCCTCCCGCTGCTCTCAACAGTTTCAATTTCCATTTTCTGAGCTGAGGTGGCAAAGGAACCCTTAACGAGCTCCCCAGGGAGGCCGGCTGGCTGGCAGGCCTGGTCCCGAGTCCCGGGGAGACTCAGGGCCAGCTCAAGAGAAGGCTCCAGAAGCCAGCACTGGCTCCAGACGAGGCCTCTCTGTGAGCCACAGGCGTCAGCTCCCAGGGCCCCAGGAGGGCTTTCCTGGGTCCCTGCCCACGGGTGGAGCCGAGGGAGCTGCTGGGCCAGTGGTCAGGAGGAGGGAGGGGCACGGTCACAGGCCCGATGCCAAACTTGGTCCTCCTGGGCCCCGTGGAACACTCTAAGCCTCAGGGGCAGGAACAGAGCAGGGCAGGGCTCCACGGCGTGAGGGGCAAGGCTCCCCTGGGCTGCCAGGCGCTCCTCTGGGCAGCCCTGCTTGGAGGGACTAGGAATCCGGGTCGTGGCGTCGGGCAGGAGGGGGCGAAGTGACACCCCAGTAGCCGCCTCCTCATTGCAGTGCCCTCTCCTGCTGTGCAGCACCCTGGATGGGGCACACGCCCTCCATCCTGGCTCCGAGTCACCGAGCGTCCCCCAAGGCCCTGCTGCCTGGACACCCCGGCCCCCCACCAGGCGGCCTGCGTATGCCTCTGTGCAGTCAGTGAGAAGTGCCCCCGTTCAGAATGGGCACAGAAGGGGCCTGCCTCCTGCACCTGGCACCATGGCCTGTGTTCTGTTCACTGCACACTGAGCCATACATTCAGCGCCAGTCAGGTAAGTGTCCAACCCTGCCTCCTTGCCAGGGACAGGGAGGAAAAAGTTTGCCCGAATTTAAAATGAGCCAAGAAGTATGGGAATGAACGGCCTCGTCACTGAACATGCTGGGAGCTGGGACAGAGGCAGGAGGCAGGTGTGGGCCCAGCTAACGGGGTGTGTGCGGCCAGAGAGGGCAGAGAGCGGGTCAGAGCTGGGGTCGGCAGTCAGCCTCGCCCTCAATCCTACCTGTTCCTGGAAAGGAGAGGAGCTGCGTCCTGTGCCTTGAGCCCATTCCCTCCCTGCCCAGGGCACCCTGGCACTTGTGTCTGTTCAGGGCCAGCCCCTGCCACCCAGGACAGCAGCCCTGACCTCGATACAAACAGCCCCTCCTCAGGCCCCCTGGACCTTGGGAGGCCCTGATGTGGCTCCTCCATCTATGTCCTGTTGCTGGGCTCTGGCCACCCTCCCTGTGAGCCAGGCCCCCATCCATGTTCTATCACTGGGCTTTGGCTACTCCCTAGGAGCCCTGCCTAGTCTCTTTGTCTCCCATGTGGGACCTGGTGCCATGTCACAGATGGGCTGAAGCCTTGGCGCTCTGTAAGCAATAACAGTGGGTGCCCAGCCTTGCCCACGAGCTGGAGGCATAGGCCTCAGAGTCCTCCTCCCCAGATTCCTCCTCCCCAAAGCCCTGCTCCCCAGATCCCTCCTCTCCAGATCCCTCCTCTCCAGAGCCCTCCTCCCTATAGCTCTGCCCAGTGCCCTATTTGCTGCTGCCCGCCCAGCCCTCTGGACTTGGGCTCTAGGGGAGGACTCAGGGGTCCCAGGTGACCCCCACTGGCTGCCTGCAGCAGCCTTCGTGCATGGGAGAGCCTCTGTTCACTGGCTACGGGTGGGCAGCTGTTTGCTGGGGGCTGTGCTAGCCCCTCAGTGGACGCCTCTCTCCTGGCTCCACTCAGGACTCAGTGTGGGTTTCCCTTCCTGCTAAGAGTTTCCTCGGGTGCAGGCCCAGCTGCCTCAGGTTCAGTTTCTCCCTTGGAAGGATCTCTGTGGTGAGTTCCACGAGGCTGGTGCACATGTCCCCAGCTGTGCTTTTCTATGAGCAGCTCCAGTGCACACACGGGCTCAGCCGCTTGCTGCTGCTGGCTCATGGGTGGCCCCCAGCTGGGCCAGGCCTCCCCTCTCTGGCCCTTGCCAGCCCTGAAGCTAAGGGAGAACTGCTTTGGTTCACTCGCACCTTTCCTGCCCATTGGGTGCCCCTCCCACCAGGAACCCTGGAGGCACCAGAGGGAAACTGACGCTCAGGAAGGGAGGGGATGGAGAGGGATATGCCACTAGGACCAGGCAGGAGGGGTGGCTCCCTGGGGTCAGCTAGCACCTGCTTGGCTGTGCACGTGGCCAGGCTGCGTGGGGCTCACCTGCGCTTGCTCCTGCTGGCTCTGTGCCTCCTGCTGTACCCGCTCCAGCACCCTCCTGGCCCTGGAGAGCTCCTCGCTCAGAAGGCTCCGCTCTGCTTCTTTCAGGGACAGGGCCTGGACAGGACGGGGTATGCTTGTGAGAAAGTTGGGGAGGCTGGGGGGAGGGATGAGGCCCCCCTCGAAGAAGAGGCTGTGGCAGAATGCTGAGTGCAGAGGCTCCCCTGGACGCAGCATGTTCATGTTCCTGTCTGTACATCCCTGCCACTGGAGAGGAGAGGCGGCTCCCACAGAGGCAGCCCTGGGCCCTGGGCCCTTTCACCCTCTGAGCGCCTGCCCTCTGTCCGACATCATCTCACCTCTGTGTCTGCCCTTGCGCCCATCCCTGGGGTATCACCACCTTCCTCTGCCTGTTCAAAATCCTGCCCTTTCCCATGCAGTTTGGGGGCCTTCATGAGCCACATCCATCCCTCTAGGCAACACCCGCTGCAGTGCAGAGAAGGAAGCTTAAAAGCCTGAAAATGCTCCATCTCCCTGATGGTGTGGAAGGCGCGTGTCAGCGAGACACCCTCAGCCCCAAGGGTGGCACGCTGCTCCATGGGCCAGGCTGTGGAAGCAATGCCTGTCAAATTCACACATAGATATTCTCTCTATGCCCAGGCCCATTTCGGGGAGGGCAGCCCAGAGACATGCGTGCACCTGTGTGGAATGACCTCTGCGCGGTGTCACTAACGTCTGTGACATTGCTGTAATGGCAACAAAGCTAGAGGCAACCCAGATGTCCATGGGAGGAAGAACAGCCAGCCACAGGAAGACCCAGTCCTGGCAGCTCAGCACGCAGCCCAGAAACAGGAGAACAAAGCTGCAGATACACAGTTGGGAAAGGTCACCGAGATGCTTTGATAATAGAGAAGAGAAAGGCCCAGGAGCCGGCGTGGACTTTCCGTCCCCTTTGTATTAAAAGTGCAGTGTTGGGGGGGTAATGCTGTGTATTTCTGTTTGCAAGCAATCTTTGGAGAGTGTTGCATAACAAAAGATTTATCAGGTCTTTGTCCTGGGTCCTTGGAGGAAGCTTCTAAACACTGGGGGTTTCCCAAAATGAGGAGTGTCTGCATTATTCCTGGCGGGCCCCCGGGACCACACCAGAGTTTTTTTTTTTTTTTTTTTTGAGATGGAGTCTCGCTCTGTCGCCCAGGCTGGAGTGCAGTGGCGTGATCTTGGCTCACTGCAAGCTCCGCCTCCCAGGTTTATGCCATTCTCCTGCCTCAGCCTCCTCAGTAGCTGGGACTACAGGTGCCCGCCACGGTGCCCGGCTAATTTTTTATATTTTTAGTAGAGACAGGGTTTCACCGTGGTCTTGATCTCCTGACCTTGTGATCTGCCCGCCTCGGCCTCCCAAAGTGCTGGGATTACAGGCGTGAGCCACCGTGCCTGGCCTCCTACTGAATTTCAGGATGGGGGCTGTCTGCTGAAAGACCATTATTAGAGGGTTGAGCCTTTGAGCCAAAGGATGTCAACCCAGCCTCCCAGCAGTCAGAGAAGCAGGCTTCAGTCACATAACCAATCACTCCACGGATCATGTTACACGGTGAAACCCAGTAAAAACTCTGGACGCCAAAGTGCAGTGGAGCCTCCTGGCTGGTGAGCACACTGGGGTGCAGGAGGGTGCTGGGCTGGCTCCACAGGGAGGGCACAGCAGCCCCTGTCTGTGACGTGCCCACACCTTGCCCGCATGTCTCCTCTTGTGGCTGGTCTTGAATTCCATATTTGATAATGAAACTCTAAGAGGAACAAGAGGCTTTCCTGAGTTCTGTGAGTCATTCTAGTGAAAGGCTGAACCTGAGAGGACCATGGGAACCCCCAAACTTGTAATCAGGTGGTCAGAAGTGTGAGTGGCCTGGAGACCCTGGACTTGTGGATGGTGTCTGAGAGAGGGCATCCTGCTGGGGACCTTGCCCTGTGGGGTCTGTGCTATCTCTGGGTCAGAATTGCATGGGCGTGTTACAGGGGAATCAAAGAGAGAGGACAACTGTTCCCTGAGTGGCCTAGTGAAGGGGAGGGGCAAGAGTGGGGGGCTTTTCATTGAAATGGCTTTCTATATTCTAAACCATTTTAAAAATCGATGCTCCCCCTTGCTCCCCTCCCTCCCTCGAGGCCCTGCTTGTTTTGCTCGGCTGGAGACCTGCTGGCTGTTTATGAATCTGCCCTTACTGGACAATAAGGTCTGCAAGGGTGGGGGCCCTGTCTCTCCCTCCTGTGCCCCTCATTACTGGGCACCGCAAGGGAGTATTTGTTAGAATTTTAGGCAAAACTTCATCAAATATAGAAGTGTGGCATTCTCTCGGGTGAGGGCTTCACCTTGCAAACAGGTGTGGGCAAACCGCCATTCAGACACAGTGGGTAAGAGAATGGAGGGTTCTGGTGAAGGCAGCCCCTCCTGGGCCAGTGGTTCCAGGTCTTTGGCTCCTGCTCCACGTATAATTCCTCTTCTTCGTTGTAGAAATAAGATCCCCGACTGGGTCATCACAGGTTCCTCAGGGAAGTGTGGGGAAGTTTCCCGCTAGACCCCCCAGCCCCACTGCTCCGCTCAGTTTCTCTGCACAGGCCGCCTAGGATAACGGTCAGCTGGCCGAGCAGAGGTCCCGGGAAAGCTTGCTGTACCGGCAAGGGCTCCACAGGCCAGCCCGTCTGTGCTCTGCCCCTGGGGTGCCCCTTATTGTGGTTCTGCTGCGAGTCCAGGGAAGGGAGGGCACTAGCACACGGTGCCTCTCTGCCCTCTTAGCCTGCACTCCTGTTGTTTTGTTTTGTTTTGTTTTGATACGGAGTCTCGCTCTGTCACCCAGGCTGGAATGTAGTGGCATGATCTCCGCTCACTGCAACCTCTGCCTCCTAGGTTCAAGAGATTCTCCTGCCTCAGCCTCCTGAGTAGCTGGGATTATAGACACCCGCCACCATGCCCACCTAATTTTTGTCTTTTTTTTTTTATTAGAGACGTGGTTTCACCATGTTGACCAGGCTGGTCTTGAACTCCTGACCTCAGATGATCCGCTGGGCTCGGCCTCCCAAAGTGCTAGGATCACAGGCCTGAGCCACCAAGTCTGCACTCCTGTTTGACCGAGGTCCCCTCTCTTGGAGGGCTGTGTGTGCCTCCGGAAAGCTGGGATTAAATAATCACATGAGAACAGGCCACGTTGTCCTGTGGTTGGTCTCAGATGGGAATGAGGGGCTGCGTGGGGGCCTTGATGGGCCATCCACTCCCCAGATGTATTGCTTCCCCTGGAGCCTCTTTTCTCATATGTCCAATGGGAATAATATCACCACATCCCAAGGGGCTTTGAACTTACCTTTCTCCTCCTTTGCCTGGCTCTCAGCCCCTCTCACATGGACCCTGCCTCAGCCTCTCCCCAGCCTCCTGGCCCCAGACTCTCTTCCACCCAACTCCTATCATATCACCCTGGCTCAAGAACATCCACTGGCTCCCTGTCACCTGATGCTGGTGCCCAAGGCCCATCCCGGCTCCACTGCACACCTCTCTCGCTGCTTCCACTCACGTGCAGCCTGGCAGCTGTGCAGAACTTCATGCCATCCCCAGACATCCTGCCAATGTCTACGTCCTCTCCACCCAACACTACTATTCCTCCTGTAAGGCCCTCCCTTCCTCCACCTAAGGATGCAGAGTTGTGGGGCAGTTAAGAGCACAGACCTCGGTGTCCAGCAGGTGCACTGCACAGCCCTGTGCGAGGCATTCAATATTTGTGGACCTTAGTTTTCTCACCACTACTATAGGGATAATTAGAGCATGTGCCTCAGAGTGTTGCAAGAATCAAATATTAAATGCAGAGAGTTTGACAATAAATCTTGGCTATTTCGGCTACTGTAACTCCTCCTGCAATTTGTCTTTTTTTTTTTTTGAGGAGTCTCTGCATCTTGGCTCACTGCAACCTCGCCTCCTGGGTTCCAGTTTTTCTCTTGCCTCAGCCTCCCAAGTAGCTGGGATTACAGGTTCCCACCACCATGCCCGACTAATTTTTTGTAGTTTTAGTAGAGACAGGGCTTCACTATGTTGGCCAGGCTAGTTTTGAACTCCTGACCTCAAGTGATCCACCCACCTCCGTCTCCCAAAGTGCTGAGATTACAGGTGTGAGCCACAACAACGTAAGATGTTGCACCAACATCTTATAGCCCTTATCACCCCATGTGACACAATGTGGACGTGGTCATGTGTCCATTCCTTTCACTCCACAGTGAATTCCTCAGGGCGGCATGATATACTGGAACAGCCTAGACTCAGGGTAGCTTTTACAGGGCCAGTGGCTGAGTCTCAACTGCTGCTGGGATGGAAGGATGGCCAGATGTGTGGCTGGTAATTCTGTGCTTGGCTTGGTATTTGAGTTGGATACACCGATGGATGATTGGATGACTAGCTGGTTGGTGGATCAGGTGGATGGATGGATAGACACATGGATGGATGGCTGGATATGTGGCTGGACAGCTGAGTTTGTGGACAGATGAAAGGATGTTAAGTGGATGGATGGATGGATGGTCAGATGAGTTGTGGATAGCTGTGTGGATGGAAGGTTGGGTGCATGGATAGTTGGATGGATAGTCAAATGAACTGATGAATGATTGTATGGATGGTGACATGTGTAGATGGACAGCTAGGAATGTGGATGCATGGCCATACATCTGGATGGTTACCTAAATGTGTGGAAAGAAGAATGGATATTCAAGTGAGTGGGTGGATGGTGACAAGTGTGTGGAGGGACATTCACATGCATGGATGGATGGGTGGATAGATAGATGAATGGACAGATAGATAGATGGATGGACGGGTAGGTGAGTGGATGAGTGTATGGATGGATGAACAGGTGGATGGGTGGATGGATGGATGGGCAGGTGGATGGGAGGATGGATGGATGAGCAGGTGGATGGGTGGATGATGGGTGGATGAATGGATAAATGGATGGATGGGTGAATGGATGGACAGATGGATGGATGAATGGGTAGGTGGGTGGATGGGTGGATGGATGGATGGAGGCGTAGGTGGGTGGATGAATGGACAGATAGAGGGATGAATGGAGAGATGGATGGATGGATGGGTAGGTAGGTGGATGGGTGGAAGGATGGATGGATGGGCAAGTGGATGGGTGGACAGATGGGTGAATGAATGGACAGAAGGCTGGATGAACAGATAGGTGGGTGAGTGAGTGGGTGGATGGGTGGATGGGTGGATGGATGGATGGATGGATGGATGGATGGATGGATGGATGGATGGACGGAGGGGTGGGTAGGTGGTTGGACATCTGTCCATCATGACTGCTGTGGAAGAACAAAGCTGAAATTGCAGTGACCTGGAAAGGCTGCATCTGCCTGAGGTGTGGCCACATGCAGCCCTTGTGCTGGGCCAGAGATGACAGGTGCAGTGGGTGTGAGCAACCCCGCTGCCCCCCAGCCGTGCCATCACCTGTTGCATCCTGTGCTCCAGTTGGAGAAGGCTCTCGTCCCGCTCCTGCTTCAGGCTCTGAATTTCCCCTTTCAGAGCCTCCCTCTCAGCGGCACTTTTTGTCACCAGCTCCTTCTCCTGCTCCAGCTGGCATCTGGCTGCCTCCTTCTCCTCTGCCAGGGACAGGCTCAGGGTCTCCTGGACCAAGGTAAAGGGATGGGCTGTGAGGTCCGGCAGGTGAGACCAGCAGTTGTCTGTAGTCCTGAGTGAGACCTGGCCCATGGGATGCCAGGGCTGATGGGCCCCAGGGGCTGTCCGTTCCAGCCAGCTGCACCCCCCCATGTCTTCCCCTCAGAGTCGCCAGAGCAGGGAGGGCCTCTCTGGGTCTCAGCACCTGTCATCCCACATTGATCTATCAGTTTGTAAACCATTCCTGAGTCTCTGCAGTGCCCTTGCCATGGAGGGGTGTAAAGACACATCAAACCAGGCCTCCAGAAGCCTGGGACCTGCGGGACGGGGCCCCCTCCAGCCCTCATCCTTCAGACTGCACCAGACCAGCCAACAGCACGTCCAGCCTCTTCCATGAGGGAGCCCCCCCCAAATACCAACCCAAGCCCAGTGTGAGGGCTCCACGAGGAAGGCCCTGGATGCCCACTTGAACTATGAAGCGTGGGCAGGTCATTGCCCAGCTTTCCCTGGCCAGGTGCCTATGTCTCTGAGCTCAGTCTCCCAGGCCCCCTCCTCCCAAGGGCCTGCCATTCACTGGGACCTGGTAGCCTTCTAGGAAGCTACTGGTGGGCTCCTGGGAAGCAGACCTTCTCCCTCTGGAGCTGTGCCAGGGCCTCGCGGTGAGCTGACGCCTGGCTCTCCAGGGCCCGCTGTGCCTCCCGCTCCTGCTGTGCCACCTGTCGCTGGAGCCGCCCCACGTCCTGCCGCAGCTTCATCTCCTGGACCTCCCAGTCACTTTGTAGCTGCTCCATTTCCACTGTGGGGTGATGAGTAAGGTGTGCCAGGGCCTGGCATGTGGACCCCCGAACCCTTTGGGACTCCTTAGGGAGTGACAGCCTTGGGGGCGACCACTGTCCACTCCAGGCTCTGGGAGTGGGCGGCCGGCCCATGGCAGGCTGGGCTGAGCAGGGTCAAGGGTACAGGGGTGCAGCTGGAGGCTACACGCTGACCCTGCGGCCACAACCCAGTTCGGAGCCTCAGGCCGGCACCAGGTGCGGCCTGGGCAGGGTGTTGCTGTTCCTCACGGGCGAGGTGGCCCAACTTGCTTCATCACATGAGCTCCAGGCTCACGTTCGTGCCCCTGTGGGCTCCGGAGAGGGGTGCAGCATGTGTGGGTAGTGAGCTCCACACCAGGGGCCCCTGCATGGCTCACTTTTGGGGAAGGAGCTGAGGGAGTGCCCTTGGAGCACCTTGCAAGGCTTGCCGAGCGAGTCCTGTGCTCCGGGCCTCCTCCTCCAGCTGCTCCTGCAGCTTCATGGCCAGCTGTTGGGCCTCGAGGAGGCTGCTCTCCAGGGAGTCCCTCTCCGCCCTGCAAAGGAGCAGCAAACAATGGGCAAGGCATCCGTAAGATCCCGCGTACAACACGCTCTCTATAGCTTTACCCAGGTGTTAATGAGACTCAGCTGAAATGCAAATAAATGGAAGAATGTTGTAGAAATTATGGTGCATCTTGTCTCTGGAGCACCATGTGCTGTTAACAAGGACGAGGAAACTATTTTCTATTCTAATGTCATGAAAAGAGTCCCCCCAAAAAGTCACCCACCCAATTGGACCCCCACATGCAGCGTGATTCCATCATGTGAAAAGCCCGCGTGGTGCATTTGTGCACGGAGATGCCACCGCTCAGAAGACACCTGGAGCACACACCGATGCACAGCAGTGCCCGTTCCTGGGAGGGACGGGTGATAAAAGACCTCACATTTCTACAATTAATTCATCAGTGATCCAACCATCAATGGCAAGTTTCATTGTTGCTCTTTGCTGCCCTGTGCTGGGTGTTTATCAGTGAACAAAGCAAGGCACCAAACAACA